GCCATAAGTAACCTCCTCAATATTTTGACTAAACCCTCCAATTTGAGGAGGACTACCAACTACCCAAATTCCAAGCATTATGGCGAAGCCAGGCTTTTTCGGATTGTACGAAACTTCAGCGATGAGGTGGAAGCAGCGTTGTTTTAGACTGCTTGTCTCCAGAACGAAATCGGTTTGCTTCGCGTCTTTCCAGAAGTTCCATAGGGCGAACGCAAGCTAGCGAGACAGAGCCTAGATGAGTTCCCGCTAAACACTGCATTCAGAACCGTTTTGTCTACGACTTCCCCCAGTCTCACGCGTAAGATGAATGCGAAGCAAAGGCATACGACCAGGAGACCCCAGTGAGACCCTGCTCTTGAACGACGTTTTGGCTACTTCTCTCTCGAGACTGCCAAAATCAGGAGTCTACAGAGGGTGCGGCCCAAGGATAATTAAGGTTGTGCTACAAACTGAGCAGGTGACACTTACCCCACTGTAACGCTGGCATTCACTTCGGAACTGTCAAAGGAGCTGCGGTTCCAAGAGCTCAGCAAAACTGTTGTCAGATGTAAAGCCCCACCGCAGCTAGCAAACGAAGTAGTGATGTTATCCGAAATTCACAGTCGAAGCAAGTCTGAAGGAACTGAGGATCTTCCTGTGCAATCCTGCAACCACTCCCCATACAGTGAGCAAACTGAGTAGTCAGAAGGACTCACCACGATGCCACTGAACCCAAAACCAAGCGACTCGCCGATAACACTAAAAAACGGCTAGCGACCGAACATGCAACGCTCGGTGCAACCTCTCATCCTAGCCAAAAGTGTCTCGGATTGTTGTTAGGAAGCGAAATAGCTTCCTGCATGCACACCCATGCCCCAGGGCCTCCTCACCAAAAGCGCCGCGATGCGGTTGCACCAGGTAACTAACGCTTGAGATCGCATCTCTATAACCGCGACTCAGAGATTGCGGATGCTGAAATCTTGACTCAGGGTATGTCCTTGTTCTGACACGATCGTCCAACAAGGGGAGGTAGTGCTATCTTATACTAGTGTAATGACTTGCAATGCGAACCACTGAATGATCCAGAGACGCGGGTCACCGATTCGCTGTGGTGCCGTTTGTGTCTCAATCACAACAACAACAACTGCTTCGTGGCAGTCGTATATTGCTCCCCATCGTCCACTCCAGAGATGGATTCTCACCTAATCTCAGCACTGGCGAAATGCTTACACCCAACTTGCAGCCACTTTCTTATGGCTGGCAATTTCAACTGCACGACTTGGAAAGCTCGGCATTGCCCAACGAAACACACAAGGCCGGACTGTAAGACATTATCGCAAGTATCCCGCTCTACAATCCGATCACCACACCTACCAGGTATAAAGCCGATAACATACCATCGGTACTTGACCTCGTACTTACAAATGAGGAACTCATGATCGACAGCCATTTATAGACACCCCTAAAGGGTTAAACGATCATGTCACCACACTTTATAACTATGTGTGTTATGCTGAATATCCGGAGGAACCCACAGAATTAACGTGTACTATCACGCCTTACAACATTCTGCACGACTTAGTTGAGGCGACCGATTGGAAATTCTTGAAAGGTGACTCACCTGACAGCGCCTGGATTCAGTTTGTTGAACACTTCGGCAATGTAACCGTAACTGCTTCGAAAACGGACAGGGTTCGCTTCACCAATCCATCGTCTTTCATCAAAAGTAGAACCCGCAACCGCAAGTCAATAAGAAATGCATCTGGCACACTTACAGAGCTCGTCAAGCCCCGAAATCTGGAGCGATTATGTGACCCGCGCAACCATTGGAACATGCTTGTCCGTGAGGACAAATTAACGCACCAACGACATTTGTCCTGTAAATTTGCCAACAACGAAAGTTCCTATATAAGCATATTAACACCATCCGGAAAGTGAAGCTCGACATCCCCCACTTAACACACCGGTCGGAGTGGCACGGAGTGCTAAAGAGTCAGCCAACTTCCTACCGATGCAACATGCCAAAACTTACCAACGATATGGCCGCCAACGTTACATACTTACCTCCCTAGCTGCATTTGCAACACTCACTAACATTTACTTTACTTTCACAGCTGAGTTGAAGAAACTGTTTTCACTACGCACCTACAGCTTTCCCGGAATCGATTATAATCACTTAAGGACGCTGCACGTAGCAGCAACGACGCTAGCCGAGTTATTATCGCGTCTCTTCCAAAGGTGCTTGCATACACAAATTGTGCCTACCGTGTGGAAACATGGCATAATCACGCCATTCTTCAAAAGCTGTAATCGCTCGGAACCTGCCAACTATCGCCAGTTGGCCATCCTCCCTCTGCTTTCATAGCTGATGGAATCAATCATCGATCAGGCTTTAGTAGAACACCTAGGATGCCACAACATCACTGCACCTGAGCAACACGGTTTCCGCCATCACGGTTTATGCACTGTCAACATACTGATTGCACACATTCGTTTGACGGAGAGGACCGATGAAGGTAGAGGGAAAGACGTTTTTTACCTCGACTGATTGAACCACGGCATTCTGCTTCGCAGACCCGACAGCTATGGAATGGGTGATCCGGTTCTTGGATGGATCAGGCGTTTCCCGCAGGATCAGAAACTGCAGGTCAGCGTTCAAAGTGCGCTATCTGAGCTGATTTATGGCGAAGGTGGAGTTTCACAAGGATCAGTGCGCAGGCCGCGTCTATTTCTCGTGTTCATCAACGAACTTACGCGTTTGATTGCCTCAGAATTCTTAATGATCGCTGATGATATTAAGAGGTGGCGGATAATCGTTGACCCATCAGTTCATGATGCAATTTAGCGAGATCTGGACAGAGCGTATTAGTGGTCACTCCACAATCTGTTGCAGTTCGATTTGAGGTAGTGCAAGGTTGTTCACATTTTTCACCAACCGAACATGACATACAAGCGTGGAGATCATGTCCTGGAAGCAGTCACCCAAGAGAGCGACCTTGGGGTGTTAATCTAGGCTGATCTGAGCTGCTTAGAGCAACCTGAGAAGACGTCGACTTCTAGAACCCAACCCGTCGGTATGCTGAGGAGGGCATTTAAGTGGTTTGGTCCCTCAGTCCTTTCGCGGTTGTTTGACACCTACTCGTGGGCTCATCTGGAATAGGCAATCCAGGCCTGGCAACCCTAGCATAAGCAAGACCTTGCAGTGCTCGAGACTTCACAGCGACGAGACACGGAGTATGTCGAAGGCTTCCTCAACCTTCCTTATCAACTTAGACTGTGGGCCATAAAATTATACAGCGGCCGGTACCGGCGCCTACGTGGCGACCATTTTATGACGAACCAGATTCTAAGGAACTCCAAGCACGTCTGCCGCCACCTAATACAACTGAGCCACAGCACGAATTTGAAGGGCCTCCAGTTCAAGTTAGCCACGCAATACAGTCGGCTAGAATGTGGAAGCAACTTTTAATCTCTTCGTGTGTGCCAGCCATGGAACGCCTTTCCAACTTACATTATTTCCTCCCCTAATTTACTCGTGTTTAAAAGTGCATTGGCGTTGCCCTAACCCACCTACAGTACGAAATATCGCCTGTGTGTCTTGACAGACGATATATATTGGTGAACTCGCACAACCAGAATTAATCTACACAACTGGGGTTGGCCCTTTCTGTATACCTCTATGTTAACACTGATGTGTCCACAGAAACGATTTTCAATTTATCGCTGTTTTCTATTAACCATGTTGTGGTTCTCTTTCTGGTCATCTTACGGGACTTGTTAAGCATACACATTTTTGCCCGTAATATACCACTGTTCCATTGTTCATCACTGCACACGTGATGGTCCGATAGCAGTATACTTTACCTCCTTTTTACCTTTGGGACATATTAGAATGCTTATATAGGGGTTGCCACAGACCTGGCTGTTAGTTTCGGGTTACTACTTTATGTTTAGCTGTTTGTGTTTTGAACGTGTATGAAATTATTCTCAGTCTGATGAAACCAAGTTGCTCACTGGTTTGAGGTGTCTCTGGGGGAGGCAATATGTGTAGGATTTACGCTGGTTTTTGAGCTTCATCCATATTTTGCCATGTGTAAGGGTGTAGGACACCTTTTCTTTCAAAGTAAAGCACAAATATCAGTCAAGTTAAGTCGATTTGTCGCGCGGAAGAGATAGATGCGGCACAGTAAATGATGTGACGTTGACAGTCCACGAACACCACTTCCTGAATCGTGCAGCGTCCGTGAAAAAGGTTATTGCTAAGTCAAAATGAGATCAACCGGCACTAGCCCACTAAGTAACTCATACCATCGCGTTTATCCTTGATGATGATAACAAACGTAGCACCATTTAAGAACAGCATAGAAGGTTCACTGTGAGGTTACGCATTGAGTCCTTTATACTGCCTTGATGCAAACGAAGCCCGTAGAGAAACATCGTCCCCTAAGTATACACAACTAACAACATTATTTCAGGCTATTCTGTTCCGGAAGATATGTGAGAGGCATTGAGTTAATGTGCGCACTAAAGCTGACCAAATTTCCTAACTCACATCGGGGGATTGAGATAGATTTTTCGTGCTTTTACTCGCCACAAGGTGGGCAGCTTGGGTGAGGTAAAGATAGCACAGTGTAGGTGAATCTGTCGACAACGCTAACAACGTAACAGATTAGATCACGCGGAAACAGTGGCATGATATAAGAGGGAATAGATTAACAAATAAATCAACGATAATCTGTCGCAATGAGGGTCGGAGTATGCATTGAGTACCGCGCGAATAATGCAGTCAATGCAGTGCACAAGAGAGGGATGCATGTTCCATCAATGTCTGCGCATATGCGATACGTGGAGGATCATTTTGCACACTGATTCCATTGGGGTATGAGAACCAGATGATGACCAGACTGGCAACGCATTGGTCGTTTAATGTGTAGGTGCAATCATAGGCTGCTACTATTTGCGGATGTACTGTCGACTTTCCACGTGAGCAGGCCAGTTCCGATGTTGAACAGTGTACAACCATAACTCAGAATCGCGTTCGGGACCGTTATGATACCATTGCAACCAGGTAACTTCACCTCGTCAATTAGAAAGTTTCTTGGGTTGTATTATTTTTGTGGTGAAACCCCGTTAGGTCTTTGTCCGTTTAACTGATTTCTACTATCCCTTGTGAGTATGTGATACGCAGTTAGATTGCAACAACAACTACAGTGCCACAGGTTGTCACTTGAAGAGTAACACTCGTAACTAAATGTTGTATCAGCAGTATCTCTGGGGAACAGATGGCCTTGCCGAAATCCGCACCCACTATTTACGTGTTGATGCAAGTGAGAACCATCCGAAGCATATGTTTATCGGTGTTGTTAAAGTTGCTGTAGCTCGTCAACTCTCAACCACAGACTTCCAACAAAACGATTCACTTGGACAAATTAATGCAGTACAAATAATCATAGATATTAGGCTGATTTCAGAGAAGAAAGAAGAGGAAAGGTGTCGGTACAGAATAACACCAACGAAGTGGACAGTACTTCGCATTGTATATTTTAGCGTACTTAACCTGGCTCTGAGAATTCCATTATCCTCTATGGACAAGAATGGCTACGGGTATCTGGCTATGTTGTCACAAAAAGCTACCTGGGGATTCATGCATGCCATCTGTGCCCGCTCGTGAAAGATTGGAGCATCTGGCAAGCGTTTTATTGGCTTACGATGAATCCTCGGATACACAAAGTCACGTACGTTAGAGCCGTACACAAGAATCGCCCCTGATCACATTTCACAAACAATGATCTGACTTATGGTGTCCAGAAATTTATTCGTATTATCCGTACTATGAGAACGTAATCACTGTTCCTTTTAAAACGGCTTGCTAGTCACCCACATTGGATTTCACAGCGTTCACGGCACACCACTTTCCAGTGGCCTGATTTACATGCATTGCAGCTGAGGAAACTTGAAAGCAAAAGTTTTGTCCATTGCAGCAAGTTTATAAATGATAAGGAAATAATTGCACTTACAATACTCCAACAAGATATTCTGAATAGCTATAACCGAAACGAGTCCTGTAAAACCCATTGTCTATCCGTTTTCGGCTACCGCTTTCAAGTGTGCTTCAGATACCTTCTTTGTACCAACTAAGAAACGGCTTTAAGTGAAAGTCACCAACAAACAATGAAAATGAGTAGTTTGTTGCCCGTTTGCAACACCGCTCTCTATGATCTTCTTCTAGGTAAGGGTCGAAGAACTAGATTTGGAAAATGGGAAGTTGATAAGTCAGCCGTAGATTTCAGCCTTAAGCCACCGAACCGCAGTGACTGACGCTTGGCGCAACGGCTAATGACTAACTAGAGACATCTTGCACATATGATTATTACAGCTGGCATTCTAAAGAAATGCTCTAATCGCTTCTTTTACTAGTATTAGAGTGAATAGCTTGATTATAAAGCACATTGACAATTGCATATTTTAATTTTTTACAAGGTGGTAGTGAAAAATCCGTAGATAATGCGTTTGCAGCAGTTGTGAAAACTTTAACCCAAGATGTGTTGAACCTAAAGATTACTTCAGTATATTGGTGGAACATGCTATACACCATGTCTATCGGAATAGTGGTGCTACTTTAGCGGCGGTCGTCAAGGGCTAGTCCGATGAGTATTACGATCAGGCGCAATGATGAAGTTAACCAAACAGCAACACATACAGAGTCACCATTTGGTTATCATCTTTCCGAAAGTCAAGGAAACCAAGGAGATATTTGTTAACATGTTCACTCATACAAACACTGACTTTATACCTCTAGACGAAACAGTAACGTGTGTGATGATATAGTGGACATTTACCACTGGAAGATTGTCAGTACTTAACCTAGCCGAAGTCATAAAACCACGGTGAACTCTATTCTGTGTCAACTTACCAGGTGAAGATCAATATACCAATGACCAAATAATAATCGATGAACCCATGTGCACTATCTACGGAATCAGTCTTGCAGCTGTTTGTAGTTAACAGGAATATAACCTCGACCATGAGTTATGCTCCCGTGTTTGAACTGGACTCATCTCTGCGGTTTTCCAAGTTAGACTTCATAACATTCATTCTGATTCATTAAGTTAGGCGATGTGCTCTGTATTTAAGAACATATTAGTTGGGTTTAAATCCTTCTTTCTTTAAGTAAAGTGAAGGGCATTTCTATTTTGCCATTATCTTCCAGTTATCAGTTCTAGACGGGGCGCGCAGGATATTTTGAAGCTCCCCGCACCCACATGTTCACACACCATTTTCAGTCCTAACTTAGCTTATTGACGAGGAGCATCCCAGCGGAAGTCCAAATGCAAAACTGAGTGTCGATAAAACGATAGTATAAACAGGTAACTGTAGTATCTAAATCAGAATCTTAAGGACCTTCACGCAACTGGCAACTGGTACGAAGCCGTCAGATAAGGACATCTTGCGGATCGGGATCAAGACGCGTCAATATGACAGGTGCGGACGACAAAGTTCTCCGGCTATATCAGAGCACACGAGACCTGTAGATTAACAGGAAGCAAATACTAGACAGGACACGCATGACGAGAGATGCACTCGCATCATCTGAGTTTACGTGTTTTCATTTGTGCCTTCGTACTTGTAGTCCATCTAGCTGTTAAAACGCCTCATCGGAGCACCAGTAATTCTCTTTACTTGCTACCTGTATCCAACCCCGTCAAGGTTGGGGATTGGCGATTACAGTCAATCGCACCCTCACACAACACAAACGTCACTAACGAGGTCAGGAAGTTTACAACAGCCTTGTTCTTAGTTGCGTATATGCAGGTGGAACATCTTAACTCCTGCGCGTTGCCGATAACGTATGGCACGGGATCAGTGTGGAAACGTGATGGCACCAAACGATAACAAAGCGCACGGTAGGAATTCAGGCTCTCTGTTCCTAATGCTTGAGCCCATTAAAGTCTTGCGAAGTAACTTCGCATCCCACATTAGCTGTATCTGTGTGCAGCAAAGGTGCGTGCTATGAGTTAAGTTCAACGGTACTTAACGTATGGCTCACCATGATATGATTATCCACTGCAAAAACCTATCTTAAACTATCAGACGTTGCCTCAACGTAAACCTGATTTACAAAGGGTAGAGGAGCTATAACAGTCTACATCAGCAAAGTACCGTCTTGTCTCCAGAGGCTTGAACCGATGCCATAGTTGGGAGGATGATCTGAATCCTCAAATTACCGGTCACCAGTCTTGGCAGTACCGGGTCATTTTGCGAATCCAGTATGAAGAAAGCTCGCTAAGACTGTGGACCAGGTTTGCATGAAGTTTTGGGTGTCAGTCATGGATCATAAGACGCAAGGTAGAAACTGGAGTGTAGGGGAGCGATGCGTTTCATTGATCTGTTTGGTCTCATGAATTAACCACATTATATTGGTCAACTGCCCTGTTCTTCCGTCAAATTGATGATTGTTTATCCATATACTCTCTTCTTATCACTCTACATACAGCTTTACACAAGCTTCGACCCTCTATCCGAAGATTGTCCATCCTCTTTGCAACGGCACTTATCGCCTATCTAGTATATTCCAACGCTCCCATCAGTCAACTACTTGCATCGAGCTGCTTATATGCTCCATTACGACCGGAAACTGCACGGCTTATCTTTGTGGGTGGACATGAGAGCTCTGGTGAGTCCATCAATCAATGTAGTAATAAGTTGATTATATCATAACTTAGCCCAACAAGTTCAAGAAATCGAATTTTAGACCTCCTCTGGACTGTGTTCCATGAAACTTGCAACAGCCAAAGTAAGCATGTTTACGCTGCGAAACGACCCAGATTCCACTCTGGAAATGTGTGACAAAAAGATAAAGGATGAACAAAAACACGATAAACGTACTAAAAATACGCAAGAAAAAAGGAATACAAGTATATAATCGAAAAAAAGGAACGAACACACCAAAAATACAAACGGGGAGAAAAAGCCGAATTCGCCAGTGCGAATCGGTGTCAGCAATTTGTAGGACTAGTTAATACTAGTCCGAGTCGGTGCGCGAAATTAAGCGCGGATATCAGAAGGCAATTGGAGTCGGACACAGCGGACTGTATTCGATGGGCCACAAGAAGACGCGGACAGATGAAGCGAGACAAGAGCGAACACGTGCGCGCGGCAATTTACAATGCGGTCGAGTGTCGGGCCGGTTGTAAGGAAGGTTAAAACAAGAAGAAATTATGTACGATCGGTCAACTATTAAATTGTACATAAAAGATAGCAGTTATCTTTTTCAGCGCCACAACATGCTTTCTCCAAAAATAAATCCCAGGACAGAACTAGCATTGGTAAAGTGGACAACTCAAATTTAATTTCGATTATCACGAACAAAGTGCAGCATGTTTCTAAAAAAAATAGAATGAGCTGGTCTGAAATCCAGCAAAAAGAGAAGCACGCTGTGGCCAACGAAATGGAAAGCTCATGGGTGAAGGCAAGAATTATCCAATTTTACTGAATGACAAGCGCACTGCGATTCGACTCGCTGTGCCGTATGAATGACATTGTGTCCACAAACCATAGTTTCTCATTTAATACAAAGAATCGAAGTGAGGCAGGTACCGAGTAAAGCATTCATTTCGGCAATTCTCATCACAGTCAGACTTCATATTTTTGCAGTTACATGCCGGGTGTCGGATAGGACTACGAGTTGATTAAAATTTTGATTCCAACCGAAACGATTCGATAAATCAGACCGTCAATAAAGGTATCAGGTTAAGTACAAGGGTACCGATAAACTGGGGCATAAAATAAAGCATCATGCAACTGAAGTCGTGCTCTCCAGTGCAACACGTTACGTAGGTCGTACTACAAGAAGCCTATGTCACAGGATTAGCGGACACATTCTGAAGTGGTTTTACTGGGGCGAAGCGAGATCATCCTGGTAATTATTATTCGCCGTGCAATCGTATGCACTCCGGCCTCCTACTAAAATGGTATTTACCATCACAATACGCATCACATGCACGTGTACTTACGCTCGTTCTATACAGCCCCACTAGCACTATTTAGAGCATCCAGCTGGCGGATCTAGTATGGGTAAACCACCTTTTAGTTGTATTTCCCAACATCAGAGGTGCTTTCGACTCGATGAATCGGTGTGCCCATTGGGGCTGTCTACTCCAAAAAGGTGTGCCAGGTAAATACATAAGAGCACATAGTTCAATCAGAGTGACTGTTTATGGCGAAATTTTGTCTACCTTCAAAAGCACCAGGGCTGTAAGACAGCGATGTCCGATGTCACATTTGCTCCATAACTACGCCATTGACGAAGCCATGGAAGCCGCGTTCGCTGGACCTATAATGGTATGAAGCTGCTTCCTGGTAAGCGAGTTCTTCACTTGGACTGTGCTGACGACATTTCGCTAAGCTGTGACAGTTTCCACCTATACAGCTGTAGAACTTGGCCCATCAGGACGACAGATATAAAGAAGCTAGTTACATTCGACCTTCGCTGCCTTCGCAGCTTAGCCCGTATCTAGTAGGAGCGCCGCGTGAGCAATGAATGTGTTCGGCGTCGTGTAGTTGGTGCAGGAAGAGCGAGTGAACCGCTCAACACCGTTATATCACGCGCTAGGCTCCGATTGTCGGACCACATGTTGCGCATGTAAGCACGCCGACTCCCTCGTGGTGCGTTGCTTGCGCGCCCGGGGTCTGAATGGAAGAGAATGAGGAGAAGCCAAGCGATGACTTGGTCGAGAGGAATGAAAACCCTCACTTCGAAGTTGGCGTTTATTGGTTAATTCCGACTGTCCGGTTAGGGTCCCAAGGACGATGTACACGTTTGGCTTGACGTATTTGCTGATATGGCTAGGAGCCCGACCCAATGGCGTTGGTGTTGCGATTTTCTTTGTCCATCCCATCTTTAAATTTCCCTGCATTTAGTACCTCATAGCGAATGAATAATACGTTACTTAACATTATACTACTTGTTTTTTGAATTTTATTGTAGGGCAGTTTTTAGTGCTATCTTTTGTGTGTTGCGGCACATTAGCTGCGATGTGTCTCTCACCCTCAGCTGACGTCTATTGAACATGTCGATGATGGATCACCTTTTAGCTCTACGTCGCAGTTTTTGGCTCATGCTCGCATAAACACAAGCGAACTTTCCAAGGCACAAATCACACAGCAGCACTTATGGTCTCAAACAAATGTCAGCTTCGCCATCCGTACGAAGAGTCATCAAGCACAGCTGTCGACCGCTCAGCGAAGTTGCTATCGTACATATTGTGCCCTATCACACATTAGCTTTGTCTGTATGTCTGCGTGATTATTGGGGGAATGATCAAGCAGCTTAAGCATGCCCCGCTAGCCCAAGACGTGCAGAACGGCCAATTCACCGCGCAGACGACAGACGGGTAACCACACGCACTCGGCCATAACCTGAACGCCATCAATCGAAGCAACAGTTTGTAACATCCAAGCAAAGGAAGCCCTTTCTACCGTACCAAACTGACAGTAGCAGGTGGCTATTCATCATGCCAGAAAAGACACGATTGTCTCGACACCTTTCATTCTAAGTGTTCTAACCTCACAGCCAACCAGGTAAAAATGCACAAAAATAGACCAGCTTCTCTGTGGTTCTGTACAGTAGGCATGGTCGTCGCAATGATAAATAGTGCAAATAACTGTCGCAAAAACACAAAAGACCAGTGGCGATGGTTGAGCAAAAAGGAACACCAAAATTGCTTCATTATAAGAAAAAGTGACGAAGAGCAAACCCAAGTCCATCGCACAAAGCTTAAATTCAAACCTGAGCAAGAACGCTAGGCTGCGAGTTAAAAATGCATTATTTGTGGCTTTAGACATTAATACTATCTGAGATCCAAATATGCGTGAACAAACTAACGCCAGTTCAATTAGAAAAAGTGTTGCTAGGGTTTCGTTAATCCTGCAAATAAATCCGAAATATTACAGCTATACGTCGACACCAATAATGTTTGGAAAGTGGTTACTGCCAAAGGCAACAGGTAAGTTGGGCCTTCAGTTAACTCGACGGAACTTACAATAAAAGAAGAAGGCAGCTAAACTTACACAGGCTCCACCGGTTGTTTGCAGACAAGGTGGGCGGTTAACCTTAACCCGGGCTGCGTATAGTGTACCAACGGTAATCTGCACCAACGTTTCATGATCGACATCAAGTTACTTAAAAGAAAAACAGTTCGCTGACGTGAACCACTAGGACTCCTTACGTGACATTATAGAGGTTGTAGTTAAACCTCTCGACTTTACACGAGTCACCCGTCACCTAAACTCAGAGCCCTACGGTGAACCGAGACTGCTCCGAGTTTTATTAACTTCCGCTGATGCAGCAGTAACAATTCTGTTAGTGACAGCTCACCTCCGGAATGGGGCAGGTTCTATCAGTAACCTCCCGGATGTTCCATGGAGGAAGCGTAAACAGTCGAAGTACAACTTGGAAGAATATCGGAAACAATCCGTAGCCAGGACCATCCTTGTTCACTATGTTCCCGAGGCTGGATGTCATGATGAACGCGAAACGACCACTAAGGACCAAGAACAGTGGCGATACATTAGAGAGACTTTGTCCTTGGAAACCATAGTAGTACAGTCGATCTCGAGTCAGCACAGATCGCCAAAATAAAAGTGATATGGCCCAAAGATTGTGAAAGTGGTGCCTTAATCCAGACAGATGTCAAAATGTGTGTTGGAGTGCTGGTATAATGGTGGCAGTAGGCTTTGTTCAGAGCACCGAATAAAAGCAGCGTATCCTAAGCAAAAACACGAGAATAGTAATTATTCGGACCACTCCACAAAAACGTTTTGGATAACATTACTTAGCTAGCCAATGATGCTGGTGAACTGACCTCATATGTTACACGCAAAGATACGTGCAACGAGGTAATTGCACGATCGATGGGACTGACACAAATGATTTCGTCAGCGCCTCTCCCAAACAACGATTAGAGGCATACCTTTCATTACTCGGCAAACATTACACCCAAAACACCTTCTCTGATTCATTGCTAAGAAGAAAGATACTGAACTGCAAATGCACGAACGCGTAAGGTCTGATGAACAAGCCTGCCGAACTGCGGTTACGTCCGACATCATAAGGTCGGGACCTTAACTTCATAACCGAAACTTGGCTGCACTCATCTAGTAGCGACACCGAAGGTGCTACACAAACTATGTCCGTTCGTCGAAAAGATCGCCTGAGCAAGGGCAGAGGGGTGCTTTTATACTTCTGCAGTGCCCAACAGTGCAACTCGATGGATGATTGGGAAACGCTGATCACGGTCTCACTCTGGTGTAGTCTGTGACTAAGGTGCAGCGATTCTTGCCTTGTGACAGTTGTTTACAGTCACCCAATTTCCGCTACAGAACTTGACTCCCGCAAGACGTTAGCCTTGTGGAGGGTCCTATGACGACGATACAGCTATTTTCTAATCTCAGGCAACTTCGCTGCTCACGATCTGGAAGTTCCGGCATTCCTCAGTGAGCAATGCAATGTCGACCTGAAAGAGCACGTTGCAAGCATTCTACTCTTCAACCGCGTCAGTTCGCTCACCGGATGCACAAATAGTAATAAAATATCTGTTCATGATTAAGTGCTCACGAACGAAGGACTCGTGATCGAGAAAGCAAACATTGAGAGCCCCTGGAGCTGAGTGATCACGTAACCATACTTTGTGACAATAAGTGTTATACGGAATATCCACAAGAACATAATGACTTACTTTGAACAATCACACACTACTACATACTAACAGAACTTGCTTGCATTACCAGCTTGGAGTTTTCGGACGACTGTTCCATTGCTATTGCATGGATTGATTTTATTGGCCTGTTCAGCAAGCTGATCATCTCCGCGTCGGTAAACACGCCCCCTCGCTTTGTATGAGCATCTTTAACCATTCGGGGCAGAACTCGAGAACGTTTGGCAGGAAGAGGTTCAGCGTGGCATGTTTACCGAGCGTACCCTATCCCTGACAACTGGAGCAACTATGTAGCGCAGTGTAAACGCCATGCCTTACTTGCCCGTGAGGCTAAATTAGTATACCAGTAGAGGCTAGCAGCAATTTTTGTGCTAACAACAAACTTCAGTATAAACATATGAACAGCCTACGGCATATGAGGCGTAACGCTCCCGTACTCATCTCAGCAAACGGATGTGTTCAGACCGCCGAGGATGCAGCCAACGATCAACGGATTCAATTTGTTCCAATATTTTTACGTACCACCAGCGTGTGTTTCAAATCTGTCCCATTACCCTAGACGCCAGTATTTAACCACGTCTGGTGTAGCTCAGTGACCATTTTGAACGAGCTGCTATCGTTGCGTAGCTATAGTTCTCCTGATGTTGACAATATTCACTCGAAAGCACTGCAGGTTACAGCTCTTGGAACACCTAAGCCATTAACACAATTTTTCAAAGGTACCTCAGTAAACACTTCTCAGGTTGTAGAAGCGGAGTATCATTACTCCGATATTTAAGGGTGGTCGACGTTCGGAACACGCCAAAGATCACCCAGTGGTTCTCTTACAGGTGTATTTAAACGTGATGAAGTCACACTTAGCGGAGCCACTCATGGGCTACCTAGAAATATCTAACATCTTAGCACAGGAGCCACGCGGATTCCGTCAGCATCCGTCATGTATTACCAAGCTACTTATTGCGCACGGAAGCTGGACCGAAATGGTAGAAAGCGGGACCGGCACAGATGACATCTACCACATTTTTTGGAAGATTTCAACCGAGTATGTCACTGTATCCTTCTCCAAAAGATGCGAACCTATGGTTTCAGTAACCCTGTTCTTTGGTGAATGGGAAATTGTCTCCTTGAGTGGCGGATTCAAGTTCGGGTTGGAGACTCCTTTTCTGATCCTTCTGATGTGGACTGCGGTGTTCCACAGGGATCAGTGTTGTGGCGAAGCTTATTCTTGGTCTTCGTTAACGAACTTGTGCATGTCATTGAGTCAAATTCCCTGCTTGTTTACGAGGACATCAAGATATGACGGGCAACCGATTGTCAGGAAGATCATGATTTGCTAAAATGGGACTTAGACCGGGCTTGTGAATGGTCGAAGACACATCTACTCTCATTCAACGTTGGCAGGCGCAAAGTTGTTTATGTGCCTCCTAAGTCCACTAACGATCATAAGCTTGGAGACCACAAAGTAGTGACCGACTATAAGGTGGTGATGCACGTCCACAGTTGAGCTTTTCACGCTAGTGTTAGTTCGTTACTTGAAGTTACGCATTCATAAAAACCAGTCCACAGAACCCGTCAAGTTTTGACAATTTTATTCGTAATATATCACTGATCATTTGCTCTAGTAACTTCACTATGTCACACCACCTAATGTACCGTCAAGCAGGTTCAAAAAAGACTTTAGACTCATCTACTCTACTCCTGAGCATTCCTCGCGCGGATTCTGAAAACATCTATTGCTGCAGCTACCTTTATCCACCATCTCAAACCGGATTTGTGTGTACAAATGCAATTCGTAGGCCCCCTACTTCTACCGTGGCCTACGACTTCCGTTTAATGATCTTTTAACTTCTGTCCCAGTTCATTTCTGGCAATAAAAGTGATTTGCCCTCGTACTTAACCTGTTAGCTTCAGTGAACATCTGATTTATTGCGTTGTTTCTGTAGGAATTTAACACTCTAGTCAATACGCAGTACTATCCGACACACCTGGCATGTAATTGTCAACATGCGAATTCTGATGGTGGTGAGAGTTACCGAAAAGAATGCTTTGCTCAATATCTGCCACACTTCGATTCATTTTATTGAATGTGGATTTTTGGATTGCTGAAGATCAGCATCCCCTGTGCTTCAGTCAAACCACAGCCTTTGATCACTACACAGACATGTTTTAATGCACTGCGAGGCAACAAGGAGTATTTCGTGAACCTGCACTCAGAATGTATGCTCATTCCAGACGGCAGTGCTTTACGGTGTGATTTCTTTTGAGTCAATCAATTAATATTCAGCGTAAAATGAAAGTAAAATATATCATTCGGTGGTGAAATGCGGGACATAAACGGCGCACTACGTTGTCACACGGCGACTGAAGAGGAACGTGTATTACTATTGCCATGTTGACGCCGGGGAGTTCTTTGAGGTCCTCACGACAAGTTGTGGCCAAATTTCATAATCAAATTATACACCTATTGATAACATGCAATGAAGTTGGTGACTATTGTGTGCACACGGGAAATTGTTTCCCTTCGGCGACGATTTCCCGTACAAGGCGTTTAGTCGACCGTTGAAGATTTCTGCGAAGGAATTTGCTACTCCGATGACTGCACATTGAGTTGCTAGCTAGGGTAAAGCTATGAGGAGACAATAGCATGCTGGAGACCTAGTGCAACCTAGCAGTTGTAGGAGATCATTATGGGAGCTGCTTCTTTGTGTCCTGAAGTTATGTGCCAATGAGAGCATTAGGCAGGAATATCGACTGAAAGCGGTGAATTCCCGCGTTAAAACAGTGGTGGTCACTCAATATCAACCTAACCGTGTCACCGGTCAGATACATTTATTCCGAGGAACCCACAGGCAGGTTTGGTGGTTAAATGCTTAGTGATTATATCACATATTGAAATAGTAAATGTGTGGAGGCCATTTTCACTTTTCAAGCGATGGAGAGCGCAAATTTGCTGGAAATTGCTGCTTTTGCACCTACCCGGTGGGCATCTAAGGCATTTTGTACCGGGGATGCATGGTCATCCAAAAAGAACTATTGATTCCGAGAAAACTAAACTCTGGCCAGCGTTTCTCTACCACCGGTCAGTGAAGACGTAATTATCGGCCTACATTGCCATTAACACTATTCAATAGGAGGTTAGTTTAAAAGGTTGACTCGTTTCTCTCAATGAAATGCACCTAAAGCCTTAAGTCTGGAGTTTTGCATTAGCACAAATTCTATTCCATCATGCAAATGTCTCAGCTGACAGCCATCTCCCGGCAGCTGCGTTTCACTGGTCCAATTCATCATTTTTGGTCAGTTGCCGACTGCAATACTGCTTGACAGCCATCATGGACATCCTCCTCTTGAAGCCTATGCAACTGTTTCACCTATAGGACAGAGTAGCTCGAAAAGTAGTTTGCCACAGGGAATCAACCACTTCCTCCGTTGAGGGCATTCAGTACGCAACCGAAGTCGCTGAACAGGATCTCAATAGTTTCTTTCTATCTTCATGCATAGGTACTGGCTTGATGCGAGTGATGCTGGACGCACACCCGTTGATCCGATGCGGAGCAGAGCCTATGGTTACCTCGACTGTGCTGGGGATAAAAAACTCATTGGAGAACAAACTTCGCGAGCGTGCCATCAAGGCAGGTATCTATCCGGATGCCTACAACGAAGCAGCAGCCTATTTTATACTAAAGATTGTAGAGAAGATGGGACCACCAGCAAAATTTTTGTGTCACAAACAGCCAGCCAGTTTCCTACACTTGGCCTATCTCGCCAAACTATTTCCTAAAGCCAAATTTGTCCACATGCTGCGTGACGGTCGTGGTGCAATCGCTTCCACAATACGGTAAGTAATAATTCGAGAATTGCGCTTTCTGTTCATTACTATATAATTAGTTAACTCAGTTAAAGTTACACGTGTATGCAAAAGCCTGTCATGTCGTCTCACGACAAATCACTTAGATGTACGGGAATTCGAATATGAGGTATCCGATAAAATCACACAGCTTAATCATCTTAGCCAACAAAATCTGTGTCGGTCAAATCTGGTGCAAAGAAATACATAACCTACTAGAAAGAGCAGACGCACTTGGTGTTCAAAACCGCTTCAGGTGTACAAGCTTTTCTCCTCACCATGTATTGTCTGTGCACATGGCGAATGCTACATCAGTCTATCGTCCTGTGCCTTCAAACCGTAGTCAGGCGGATTCATGTGAGCTGCTTTGCTTCGATACCAAAGCTTTTGTCACACGTCTCTACTACTGGACAACAATATTCCGTTTCAGCTGAAGCGCTATTTCTCAGTAGTGGGTAAGAAGTACCAGTTTCAAATGGTTGGAGTCGCTTGCTGGAACACATAGTCTACTAATTCTCCCCAAGGTCACGGTATTGAGTAAATGGATAGCTGTCGAAGCTAATTTTAATACCAATTCTGAGGTGTTCTTCTAACCAGGTTTCGCCCGTCGCATTTCAGGATTCATAACATGCAACCTCCGCGGTATCGATTCATGCAATACACCTAAGCAGATTTCTTCGAAACAACTACTCCAACCAACAATTATCCATTGTGACTAGCATCGTCCGCAGCCATTTAGCGGCCCATAGGTGGAAGTTTTGGATGACATTATATATATATATATATATATATATATATATATATATATATATATATATATATATATTCGTGGCTGGGGGCCACGACGCATACGTAACAACAACAAAAGAGGCAAAACAGGCCGTCAGTGAAGCATTAGGATGTTTTCTATGTTGTATGGGCAGGGAGTTTCCCAGTTGCTTATGCCGAGGAAGAAAGTGGACTTAAGAAAAGCCACTCGGAGACTTTGGTACTGAAGACCTGACGCGCAGAGCAACGGGTCGATGCACGCATATTGGTGAATACGAAGACCGTTGACAACCAGCTGCCTCATTCACCTTCTTTGTGTTCGGTAGCAGTCCGCACCGAAGCCAGTGGCCAACAAGGTTGTTCGTCCACCCTGCGTTAGGTACTCACTGATTACAGAAGTGAGTGGTCAGTGATCATAGAACCTGTCGCATTGGCTTTGACACAGCGAAGTACGGGTTCTTGTGGTATTTGATGGAGAACCAAGTGACTAGCGCAGAACTCCCCTGATTGCTCGCGCTTACTTACTTATCTTTCCTGCGAAACCAACTTTACTTATCCTCAATTACTTCCACAAGGAAGGCACTCCACAATCCGCAACCTGGGGCAAGGCCTCAGAGAACACATCTCCGCCATGGGGATACACCAAAGAGAACCCTTTTGGTACAGTTCCGAGGTGGAAGGACTGATGAAGATGCTTGGCGTGAGACATACCAGTGACGAATGGCATTTGTTTCTTAATACGTTCAATAGCCTCAAGGTTATACTGCTCCACAATGGGAATGTGTACCAAACTCTGCCTCTGTTGTACGCCACTAATATGAAAGAGGCTTAAGAAAGTATGCAGCAGATACTCACTGCACTGAACTACTATAAGTAAGGTTGGCACGTCCGTGCTGAGTTCGAAGTCACCGGACTCCTAATGGGTATACAAGGAGGCTTCACGGAATATTACTGCCTCTTCTGCTTATGGGACAGTACAGTAACTCAGCAGCATTTCATTGAAGAAAAGTGCCCAGAGAGGACCGACTCTGCTGCAGGGAAAATGAGTGTAAAGCATACGCCTCTTGTGTATCCCGATCATATCCGCCTGTCACCCCTGCACATCAAGCTTGGAGTGATTAAAAACATAATCAGAACCCTCAAGTGATACGCGTTTGCATTTCAGTTCCTGGAACTAATGGTTGCGAAGATCACCGATGCGTAGCGCAATGAAGGGATAGATAGTGAACCTGATATTCGCCGGAGAATGGCAGAGAGTGCTTTCGAATGCCAGGTGACTTCATTTGACTTAGAAGCGTGGCGGTCATTCAAAACAGCGTGTACAGTATTTTGGGTAGAACAAAGGCAGAGAAGTACAAAGACTATCTGTCTGTTGGTGTTCGAACGTCAGTCAAGATTCAGATTCTACATAATCACCTTGAACTTTTCCCTGGGAACTTGGAATCTACTTGCGATGAACATGGTGAGGGCTTTTACCAAGACCTTGCACGCACTGAGCATCGCTACAGTAGCAAGTACACGTTTTCCATAACGGGTGAGTTTTGCTGGTTTGTGAGGGTACTGGTTAATACAACCGACGGTCTCGGCGAAGTCATCAGTTCTCAATGCCAAACTGTAGTCAGTAGTGTGGCAGTGATGTTTAAAAAGGAATTTGCCACAAATATGCGTACTCTATTTGTTGTCATTCAATACATTTACATAGAATTAGCACGCTCTAGGCTGGACATTACTGGAAATAATCATTATTTCATGACGATGTAACCTGACGTGCCAGCTAACATCGAAATACATCTCTACGATCAGTGGAGCGTATTTCATAATGTAGACATTGGCATTTGTGTTCTAGAAAATAATATTTTTCTTGGACAGTGTTATTGGCTTATACTAGTACATCCTTGCTCTAATGTGTAGGTAATCAACCAACCATTCCTTAATTTTGATAGCTTGTCAACCAGACGACGATGACGATAATACAGGTCCCCCTCTTCATATCCAATAGCGCGGTTGTTTACATTTCCTGGCCAGCTTATGTTAGAGGGTAAGGAGAGAACTCAACCGCCACTTATTTCTTTATTTTATGTCGTCAGTATTAAGAGCTCGATCAGGCTGATCGGAGTACCTGGTGCATTACCTCAACTACCTACACACGTGCCACCAAGACCGGACACTACTTACTAGATTAACTGTGCACTTTCTCCGGCTCACTGATAGAAGGAGCCACTTTTGCAAATACCGTACATTACCGAATTTAGGCTCGTCCATAGATAAGCCGAGAGTATGACTTTGCAACAACAAATTTGTCCAAAGCCGTAAGTCCCTGTATTAGCCGAACCTTAAAAAATTAGCAAGTGAAACTAAATTATTTCACGACGATTTTGACGTCATCACTACCTGCTCTCACTTGAGTGAGTTACAGTGAAACATGCACTACTATTGGTCAGTTGTGGGGACCCTAATTTTATAATCGCGGTTAATGGAGCGTAGAGCCATCAGCCCAGACTTTCGCCGCAGCGGACAGTGTATTGACCAGACGTCAAGTCACATGAAACAGGTAAGACAGCCGACAATATAGGGTAAGATGAGAGGGTGTGTCAGACGCCGCCTCGCATAGCTGGGGGCCTCATGCAAATGAACCACAGTAGAGCAGTGGATGAGAGCAAAGTTCACTGTCCGGGGTGTGCTACGACGTTGTGCTTTTAAGACACCGGATCGCCTGGCATAATATAATGTTCAAGCGCTTTGCATTTGCTACTGCCATCTGTCGCGAAGATCAGATATACAATATACCGAGAATTTTCGACAATAGTAATGTGTCCAGTTACAGGCCCTTAAAGTCCCTGTCTGGAATGCCGTCCTTTACTAGCGCGTGGTGCTAATGGGAGATAAGAGCACAAGTATGCAGTGAATTCCTTGGTGGATATTGCACATAACTTTTTCAAATCGCGTATGACCTTTGTATAAGCCGAGTCCCACTACAAACAATAAGTTATCCAAAAATCCTCGGCTTATGTTCGGTAATGTACCGTAATTGTACGCTGCCGTTAATGAAACTCACAAAAGTTGTATGACGGTTCTACATTTGTCACTTTGATGAGGTACCTTGTGTTATTCCTGCAAAAATATCACGATACACATCCAATCAGATACTGATCAATGAGCTGTCGTTATTGCAGTATGACATAATATTTCTTACCTTTACTCGTACACAGGCGTGGATTTAATGGCAAGTACAAGAAAGAAGATCCAGCCGGGGCCTTGAAGCTTTGGGAGGTCAAAGTCACTAAAATATTGAGAGAATGCCAAGAAGTTGGACCAAAGCGATGTTTGAGCATCCGATATGAAAGCCTTGTGATGGATCCCGCAACCGAGTCCAAAAAGCTGTTCGGTGGGTTAACAAACCATGTAAACTAGCTTTTTAATTTCACGGATAATTGCTGCTGCCCTTACTTACAATAGGACGTGTCACTTGTGTAGAAGGTTGTGGTTGGAGCCGGGTGGAAACAATCAAACTGCATCTGACCCGTAGGAATCTTGGGCTGTTCAGTACTATCCTCATTGCGAGAACGGTGATTTCTTCCATAGTTACGTACCCGAGACAAACTGACGAGGACAACATTTTCCATAGGCTGCTATATGCACCTGCAGCGCGGTCATGAGGTGTTTACAATGTCTGATTGCGGCTACTCTGCCTGCTGCTGGAACAGTCAGAACTAACAAAAGAGAGTGTAAAAGATAAAAAGGCTAGTGCTTGAAAGGTCTCATAGGTTAGTCGAGATGTACCTAGCAAAATCAAAGCCTTATGTGTCGTTAATCCTGATTTCACACTGGCTAATTCACCGAGATTTTGGCGTGAAAAACATTAAAGTTCACCTGGTTCGATTCGGGGAATATACTTTTTCAATACCTTCATTTATCTTTGGGCTAACTCGTTATTAAGAGAACTGTTTACGTCGTTTTAAGTTATCAATCCGCTTTCAAATCTCCATAGTTTAGGATAGAAACATCGTACGCTGTGAGACAACATTTAGCACCCAAGGAAAGGCGAGAAATATTTTCAGCACTTCACCTGGCTATACTACATAGCCAACTTAGGTAATGACCTATAACGTTCGTATGATGATTAAATGTCAGGAAGTTGTCGTAAATATCGCATGGATTTTAGGATTTAATAGGCTTTCACGACATCCCGAAGCAGTTACGAACACCGGTTGCTATGCGCTCCGGGTGATTTTAATAAAAGTACACCACATGGAAGAGTTAACGTTTTTCGATAGCCTTCGTTTTGGAGGCTCAAATAAAGCAAAATAATACATTCTTTAAAGGATGCTACACATGCCTGGCCTATTTCAATTAGTTCGTAACTGGGTGTCAAGTATCTGTGTAAATTTAGCAGGATTAAACCGACGAAAAAATCCGCGGACGTGCACAACGTAGCGATCTCCGTTCTTCGACACATATTCAGAGTAATTCGAGTAGCTGGGACCACTCCCAACAATCGTCCTGAGACCATGCTCCTGGCATGCTCCATACCGAGTGTGGGCTCTAATTTTGTGCCTGTTTACCTGCCCATCACATAGATGAACCGTCTTGTGTTCAATCACGATCATTACTGAGCTCCATCCGAATTTCACTGGAGGCAACTGTGATCCCTATGGCACTTAATCGCTTACCACATCCTGAAATTCTCGGCAAAAAGCAGAAAAGTTGAGGCGATAGCGTTTGCGAGGTCGCTGATAAAACTCAAAATATTAACCGTGAGTAGGAGGATTTTGATTGTAATTTTGTTGAGGTTTTCACCCCGGTCGTTCCCAAGCTACACAGCACAGCCTAGTCCGGAAAAGCACCAGACACGTTTCGCTCTATTTGGGCTCGCCAGTAGTGCTCATTCCCTCGGTCCCCTGCTGGGGATCGAACCCATGACTGCTAGAGGCGGATGTCAACCAGCCATCAGCTTAAGCCACTGAGGCATGAGGAACGTTAGCTGGGCTACATGATTTGAAATCTAACAGATATAGCACCACCTACCTTCCACTGTCACGGAAAGTGGCTAGCCTACGAGGTGATGACCTCTCGCTAGGCGCTATATCCATAGCATTTTAAACTAGGAAAGGCGATTTAGTTTTTTATTACTCGTGAGTAGCATGATTTTGGTTGGAATTTTGTTGACGTTTTCACACCAGTTAGATTGCAAATTATGTAGTCCAGGGAACGTACCTCATGTCTCAGTGGTTTGAGCGGCTGGCTAGTTGGCATCCGCCTCTAGCGGTCATGGGTTCGATTCCCAACAGGAGACCCAGGCAATGCTCACCACTGAGGAGCTGCAATAGGGCGTAAAGCGTCTGGTGCTTTTCCAGACTAGACTATGCTATGTAGCTTGTTAACTACTGGGAGGAAAACCACAACGAAATGGCAGAGTAACCGCGGCCCAAAGGCCAAAGCTTGTGAAATACCCCATTCGACCTGTGTTGGTTTAAAACGTGATCCCTAAACAAACGTTTACAGTGCACGCTGATGAATGAAGTCTCTGGTAAGCTTAGGATCTGGATTCCCTATAAGTCTGCACACTGTAAAGCAGGATGAGGTGAGCCAGAATTCGTAAGTTTAGATGTACGACATCCTTCCAGACCCAAGTATAGTCCGGCTATGTCCAACTACCATGTGTCCCCAGTATTTTGGTGGTATATGACCGATGTTAACGGAAGCGGAGCTGATCCGTTGCCATGCGGCTACATTTAGTACTGGTGACGTGAGCTGCAGAGCAGGGCCGTCCGTGTTCTATTTGTTTGGATGCACAGGGGGAACTTGGCAACTACTGTGACTTGCATGGTGACCACAGGTGAACGCTGCATATCGTAAGTTCGAGTGACCTGCAGAGGTAGAAACAACCTGAAAAGCACATGCAGTTACGGTGTAGGTTTTCAGGCAGCTCTATGAGCTAGTACTTGGTTCAGATACTAGAAACTTATATAACAGCCCACTTTTTAGGCACCAATATATTTGCGTCCGGAAAATATGTGTTCCCTAATTTCATTAGTGATTCGCGCACCTTTTGTGATGGACCGACTCCCACGCAACCATGGATTCTCCTTACATTCTTTCCTATCTTCTTCCTTCTAGTTTACACTGAATGTGGTGTGTGCAGACGGAGCTGGGAATGGTGTGAGACTGGTCACGCAGATTCCATCTGTACGTGTCTGCTTCTTGTGGCAGTTGCTGACCACGGAGTTAGGTCAACTTGGAAACGAGTGCCCCTAACCCCACCTGTGTGCCCTTCCGCTGTCACAAATCTTTCGTGGTCAGGAAGTAAGAAAAAACCTAAAAGAATGAAAAACCACTGTGTTTGATTGTAAGCTCCACTTCGAGGCATTGCACAGGGGGTTAGAATCGAGCTGATCACACACTCATGCAGTGCAGTGCAAAGTTGTGCGCCGAATCGCCAACTGAGGTCTGGGCAGTAAATGTCAAAACGACCCGGACAATTTACGCAATCCTACCTGCATGTACTTGATATGATATGCGCAATCGTGATAAGTATATGCTCCTGAAATCCTTCGCTCGCGCGTGTACATGTTGATCGTGTTTTTGGATGTTGCCTTGACAATGACGGTAGGAAAGTTAAATCACAAATGTAAAACTGTTTACAAATTGTTTAGACACAGGAAGCTTGAGTTAGTTATTCTTCACGTCCCTGATGAAGAATGAAAATATCTACTTCCAGCCTCTTAGGGCAGCAAACATTAATCCAAATAAAAAACCATCTTGGTTTGATAAGTAGATGGTATTGAAGAGATGCATGCTCATAAAACTAACATGTGGAGCACCCTAAGTTTCTACATAATAGCTCTAATGATAGCTGTCAGCTATACTATACTATACTACAGCTAAACTATACTTGACCAGCAGTAAAGTAAACAACATCAGCTACTTATCCAAAGAGAGAATACATGGCGATTTTCACGGCCCTTTATCCACTATACTACGGTGTTGCAAACATCTTTGACAATCACACATTCTTTGCAATTTTAAATTACAGCTTTCACCGTATTACCACTGTTCGTGATTCAGCTGAACAGGCAATGTATTGCATTGATTGCTTCTGATAGTATAACACCGTATTAGAGTAGTAGCCCAGTAAATGCTGTTCGCCGTCCAATGGAGACCTTCCCCTGCGACTCCCTGACAGTCCATTATGCCGGGTGGATAAGCCGCTCTTGTGCTATGGAATGCGCAGTGCGTGCACCCATTGGCTGGGTATGACTCTCAGGTACCAATCCAACCTACAAAGAGCGCTCAGGACTCTGTATTTATGACCACCTAACCCGTTTGCGTGTTGCAGGAGGTGCTGGTGGATCGCCTTGAAATCACGGTGGGTCCCCCGAATAATGGAGCAGAGTAACTTAGAGGTAATTAGATTAACTTGCTTGCGCAAGTGAATATTTGGAATGAACAGAGGTAAAAACGTTTCACGCAAAGTTCCGACACTGTGTTTGGTGGCGGCACCGAACAGGTGAACGCTGAAACATTCGTAATCTTGACAGCTCCTAATGCAGCTTTTTTACGTTTGCACATGACCGAAGTGAATGCAGAACATGACAGCATCATCTCAATACTTGCATTGCAGATATGCTTATTTGGAGTACTAAGGAGGATTTTATGTTTTGAATAGATTGTTGATAACTGAAGTGTGCTGCTTTAATCTACATTCCTTTGCTTTTACAGAATTTCTTGAAATCCCATGGGACCCTGCTGTGTTAAGGCATGAAACTATGCTGGCACAACTGACAAACTTGAATCCGTAAGTTAGGTAGTATAAAACATTCTTTACTCTGATGAGTAATTCTCCAACCACGCTGTTACACAAACAGACCTCATTTCACATTATTTCGTAGTGGCTAAACCAACATTATAAACTTTTCTAGAGACCGTATAATCATGTAATAAACCCACTGAGCACATCGCTTCCTTCTCCTGCTCTAGGTATGAACCCAGCACGAAACAGTTCATTAAGAAGATCCACACCGATTCAATTGCCAAATGGTCTCAACCCGATTCCGTACTGAGCGAAGAGTTTCTACGTTCTGTACTCAGGCAGAACAGTTTGCTACGTGTGTTGGGCTACGCCGATCTGGGAAACCATCCTGATTATACGAAACTGGACCCCACCGTTCCTACCGTATTGTAGCCCATTTGCAAAGTACCCACCATCAGAATATTGTGTAACGCCTTCTTCAACCTATGCAATGAGAAAACTAGTGGATTATTTTCCTAGAACTCCGTTATAAATCTCAATTAGCTGTTCTTGCCCATGGGTCGGGAAGGATTGGCTAATTCTGGAAGCAACCACCGTCGTTTAGAGAACACGTTGTGTTTATTCGTGACAGACATGAAAGCACTAATTCGCATCTGTAATTTGAAAATTACGCCCCGACGACAGTTGGTAGAAGCAAGCAATTCGTATTGTCCCTTCAGTACCGATAACAAAAACCGACGCGGATCAATAACGGGGGACGGATGTCACAAAAGAAACAAACTTAGGGATCAAAGTGGATGAAAGCGAGTGGAGCTTCATGTCCACGGAAGCCTAAGGCTAACGAATAACTGTTGGTGTACGCAGAGCTTTGGCTGTATTTGTCTAATTGCGATAGCCTCAGCGAACCGAAGAAATTACCGATTAGTGTGTCTCAGTAAAATTTTGAAAGCGATATCTAGCCAGCTCCGGTGACCAGTGATCAATAGGTGTTTACTTATCCAGGATGCCGGTGGCTTACGCAACGACAGGGCTTGGGGAGGGTAGGACTGTTGGTTTATCGCACGCATCACCCACCTTAGTATATGTCCCTACGTCCGGGAATACAATGCTCAACCAGTTTTGCCAATGTGACTGACTCCGCAGTCACATGTGAAGCGATATACACCATGAGAGATGGCGCTGATTGACAAAGGTTTCTTCGGTTGAGGTACCGGCAGCTTGCAGTTTTGGTTGAGGATGATGACCTGAGCAGCAGCGATCAAGCGCCTAGCGGTCCTCAAAGTGAAGTAATCCCCATTGATAGGTAAGTCGGCATAAACTGTCTTCTTGGATGCCTCCTTTAACAAGTTCTTTGGTATTCGGGGTTGACTGTGCTTTGTTTTAAATATTAGAGGGCAGCCGTTTGATATCAGGGCCATTGTTATCATTTCCAACTCATCAGTTGCACAGTCTGCCTAGCATAGTCGTCTGCCCGACTAAATAAGGGCCCCACAGGTATACGCTCGTATCGCAGTGGTGTAAAACTTGTGAAATGCAGGTAGTGTTCGGACCACGTTGTCTTTCGCTAGATTGATCTCCTAACTTGTCCTTCTTCCTGCGATAAATGAGGATATCCAAGAATGCCCGGCAAATCTCTCTTTCTCGCTCGCAGTTGACTCGGAAGTTGGCAGGTGCACTGTTGTAACGTTCAACCAACCGGATGATATGTTGCTCTGATGGAGAGGAAGCCAAAATGTCATCAATATAGCGTCTGTATTATGGTTGCTGGTTTATTTCTGTGGACATTTTTCCGAACGTGAACACAAAGAAATCTGCCAGGAAATGGTCCAGTGAGATACCCTTTGCCAATCCATCGACCCGGCGCTATGGCGTGTCCTGGAAGGAAAAACTGATATTTCTGTGAAAACAACAAAGTATCTTTCTGTAACTCGATTGGAGTCGAAGTGTTTAGTCAGTTCTCACACTTACTCTACCGTCTTATGCAGAGGGACGTCAGTGCAGAGAGGTTCCACTTTCAGAGAGCACATGTTCTTGTCTGACAGCTTGAGTGTATAGGGGTCAGCCATAAGTTGAAATGAGTCATTTCGACTGTACGGGTTGACCAACTGTCTCAGTTGAGAAAGTACATTCACCAGCCAATGTGAAAGTTTATTCTGTGGCGCATCTATAATTGAAAGAATCGGCTGGAACGCGCAAGCGTCGACAGACCGAAACAATGGGTCCTCCTGTGTTATTCTCCTTTAAAGCTTCGGATTTATTCTCACAGAGACCTATGTGCTATCATTCGATTGGTCTCCGCAAGCTCCTCCTACCACTGTTCATCATTAGGATCTGTCATTCGCGGATTAGCAGCAAACCGTGCTTCTGCGATTTCTAAGTCAACTGTGCTTGAATCTTATCGGAGAGTTTATTTTTCTTCTCCTCGCACAAGAACTCTTGTGGTCTTATTTTAAAGACCTTGTTAAGAGTCACCCGAACTTCTTACTACCATTCCTTATAGTCGCTGTGCAAAGCGATAGTTTTCAATTTGGTCCGCCCTTCGAACAACCATAGTACTTTCCAAGTCATCTTGCTTTGCCTCATTCCTACGCTGCATCGCTGCCTATCCACTTAACGGGAGGATCGATAGCACGCATGTTGCTTACCTACACTAAGGAACGTGTGACTCATCTGGACGCGACACGTCTGACCCCTCTGACCTCAAACCAGCTCCGATTGCCACGCAACTAAAAGGGAAGCGAAGCCATACACGGTACGTCAGTTTCTGTCCTCGTGCTACCCCTGTCGTAGTGTCCATCCAGTTGCTCCATTCCATCTTGTTATTGTAGAATCTTTACACCATATCACCACCATCTGCGGTCATTCCTAGTTCGCTGCCCCATTACTGACCGTGACCACATATATCAGCAGAATTCTTCCAATGGTTCAACGTCGCCTATGTTGCGCAGACAATTGCAATAAAGTTCTTCAGATCGGATTAACCAGTTCAAGCTGCATTAGATCATACTGTCCGCAATGTGTAGGCAAATCCGTACAAGAAGTGAGACAGACAAACAAAGTTGCTGACACAAGTTGGTTTTGTCCAAACTGTCAAGTCCTTCCAGTTGTCAAATGTTTATCTTTGCTCATGAAAAAGTGGATAGGATGACTAAGATAATCGCGCATTTTGTAAATACTAAGATCGATCCCACGGAGGTAACTATGGCCAAGCTAATACCTCAACCAGCCAAATTAAGTTCTGAGTTTAAGCCGAAGAAAAGAGCTAAACGCTCCAACCGCACTGCAGCGTCTATGTCTCTAAATCCACTGGGTCACCTCATTCCCATAAGTGGACAAGCCTCAAACATGCGTGCTTCCACTTCTCCAACCATAGACGCTTCACCTGAAGATTCAGCCATGACACTGACAGCTCAGAGCCGAGGACAATCAAGTGCAGATAAAAAGCAGGTAACGTACGAATCGATTGCCTCGACGAACGCACTAGGAGAGATACACATAGGTCCATCTTCTATACCGAGCACACGTGGAGCAACGCAACTTTCACCGTCAAGTCCAGTGGGCCATCTAAATAGCCCAAATTGCCGGAAAAAACTATAAAACCGACATTCGCTAGGCAGAACCATGCTGCGTTAACTCTCGTGTGCACGAATATTCCTGAGTCCAAATCTGGCACAATAAAAGACAAGTTACAAGACGATCGCAACCAATGGAGTTCCATCTGCGATGTGGTTGGTAATCGGGTTGAGCCTGCTATGTTGCAACGCGTAACGCATCATCCGACATTAGTGCACCCTGGTGAATAACAAATTCTTCGAGCAACACTAGACTCAGCAGATGCGACAGATGCTGTCCTGCTCTCAGCAGTTCGTCTTCTCAACTCACTGAGCGGAGTGCGTATATTACCCGATCTCGATTGGGGAGCTCGCCCAAAAAAGCAGGTGACCAACGCGGCATTTCTAATAGGGATAGCAATAAAACAAGATTTGTTCATGGCTTTACGGTACTCTTGCATTCTTCTGATCATGATGCGCAAACACATGACCAAGAGAAGTGATGCTACAACCGCGAAGCACTCTGTTGACAATGTTATTGCCAAATCCTTGACAAGCGTTCCGTCATCACGTAACTACATGGGCTGCGGCCCATGACTAGTGCAAGTAATATTACACTCCGAGAGATTGATGCAAGTTTTGTTGCATAACTGGTTAGACTTTCGAGCCAGGTTGCCAACAGAGATCTGGCTAAAGGCAGCAGGCGAACGGCCAAAAATCGTAAACAATCCGATGGAATTTGCAAAGTCTGCCAATTCTTTATCTGCACAGTCCAGCGGAGAGGCCAACACAAAAGCACTCACGGCACACAACAGGACAGACCACAGCGCCAGTGAAACGTCTGTTCATGAACGCTCAATAATACCATGCAACTTGACTGAAATTCATAAACCAAAAGATGATTAACAGCCGGCCACCTAACGGCCGGCCTAAAATCTAACAGAGTTGACATCCGTCAAAGCACTCCTAACAACAAAACCCTATGTTGTACGTACACAAACGCACAAGGCTTTCAAAGTAAGTTGGTGGAATTTAGGGAACTCCATGTCTCAAAACGGCGGGACCTTGTCAAGATAACAGAGATCTGGTTAAACTTTGAGAGAACCGATTCTGAGATTAATTTGCCTGGTATGTCGCTGCTTTTGAACGATAGAACCGTAAGGGGTGGTGGTGTGATACTATAATATAATACAAACCTCCGATGTGAAGTTATCGATCACCCGGAGATCCGAGCTCCTGATTCGCTTTGGTGCGGCCTATGGTTGCGAAACAAAGACACATGTATACCAGTCCTGCTTTACTGCCCACCAAAATCAACGTCAGAAATAGACTAAAAACGGAACCAAGTCTTCCATTTTGCTCCGAACAAGTCCCACACCAAAGTCATATAGCTGGAGTATTTGAAGTGCACCACATAGAAAAGCCAGCAACAGAGAGCACACAGTATAAAGTCAGCTTGCGCAAGCTAATTGTAAGCGACCCCCACTACATTTAATCAAATCAGAAAGAAGACATAGCTTGCGATACGTCAACATTTCCATCGTTCTCCTCAGTCGCATACACAATACAAGCAGAAACACATACACAAATATATACATGGGAAAACATTGGCAGACAAATCAAAACGTCAAAGTCAACACCAAGGCAATCTGATTGATTGCCGCAAGCGTTTCTGTGCACATAGCACAGGTTGATAAGCCCTAATTTGCAACGCTTCACTGCTTGCCAAAATTATCGGATTCCGGTTACGTAATAGCACTTTGAACACAGGCTTCGGATCCACATTGTGATCAGTTGTCACGAGGGGCTTAGTGATAGATGATGATGGAATCCGGTTCATTCTGGGGGCGCTCTAGTTTGTTGCGTCATCATTTGTTCCAC